CAAATGGCTGCAATATAACAAAGAGTGAAAAATTGAAGGGGGTCTGAATACTTTCCGTACCCACTGTATGATTTATGAAAAATAGATAGATATACTATGGATAGATAAATAGAAAGATATAGATAGATAGTTAGTAGATATACTAGTATAGATCGATAGCTAGATAGCATAGCATAGCTATGTAGGAAATTAGTTGCCTGGGTCAGCAATCAAATAAAATAGAATACAATTAAAATAATATATAATACCCCCCTCCCCCGTGTGTGTGTGTGTATAAATATGTGTGGTCAACAGTGTTTTGATGAAAAAAGTAACATCCTTGTTAGTATAGACCTGTTAGTCAAACCATTGAAGCCCTCTTGTGGCCACCTCATTTACATAAAACCTCCCACCCCCCACTCCCTCAAAATAATGGGTAAGAAAAATGGGTGAAATGGGTACCAATTGGGATTCTCCTACTCTTGGTGCAATGCAAGAAGCTGTATTTTCGAATGCTCCCTGTATAAGAAGTAATGTTGGCTGAGTGCTGTTTAGCACATATTCAGCGAGGGCGTCGCACAAGCTCATGCGAGTGTCGAGGCACAGAGGATACATATAGGGGCTTTAAAAGGCTCTAAACTCAAGCTGCCGCATCTGCGAGCCTGCATACATCACTCTGTTTATCGCCGGCACTGCTAATTGAACATAGGCTCACAGAATGATGCCCCCATGTGTTCCATAGCACCGCACTGCCATTGGCTGTTGTTGCGGCGACGCAGCCATTAATGAGACAGGGCCAGGAAGATGGATTACCCAGTGCCATATTGCCCATCATCCCCAATCAAGAACCACCCATGGAAATTGATTGTTCTAATTTGCTCTCATTATTATTATAATACCCGGACAAAATAACACACACGGCTCGCTGTCAAAGCTGTGAAAACCAGCCATTAGTTATGGGGGAGACAGCAAATGCGTTTTATGAGTTTCGCAGTTAGTTGAGACGTTGGATGCAAACACATCTTAATCAGATTTCCACTCCCTCCATCATGGTGATATAGCATCTCATTATCTCCACCTCAGAGAGTGGTGGAAGAGAGTACACATTCATTTATACTTTAATGTCAGTGTCACAGTTTTACTTCGTGAATAATGCCTTGAACTTTCCGTGAACAAGAACAGTAGCATTTGCTGATCTAAATGGCAGAGCGGAAAACAACATCACGCTCTGACCAGGTTGAAAACTATTACCCTGGAAACAAATGAGGAAAAAAACTGAGGTTTAATTTGTGGACTTTGCTGTAGTCAGCAACTTCACCCGCTCATCTCTCATAAGAGTTTTTGTTGTTTTTAACACACTCATCAGCTTTCCTCGGACAGTTGAGAGCTGCTCTTCGGGTGCTTAGTACCCCATCTAACCAAAAAGAACAAATGGTCAATACCTCAGGATGTGTCATGCGGGATGACTATAATTAGTCCTTCCTCCAGTTCAGCCAATGATGTACATCATAAACGCTTTGTCTCCAGAGCCAGATTAAGACTGCAGCCCAGTGCTGCTCCCAAATCCTCCCTGCTTACACTGCACTCTGTCTGTCTCACGAGTCCCTCACATTGTATATGCAAGAAGTTATAAGGCATGGAAACGATCAAAGCAGGATACAATTATGCATCCCTAATCACAAACTAGCCCCATGAAACCTTGGCGGTCTCGCCCTTTTTATTGTGCGATGTTGAGAAAACGGCAGGTAAATCAGTTGAAGATTACACCTCAGATAGTTTTATGACAGAGCCAGGAGTCCCATCAGGGGGAATTTCTAGCGTGGTCAGCAGCATATGAATGGTGGGGGACATCGTCTGGAATTAGGGCTGTAATTTAAAGCGCTCTAATTACAACAATCACTTACATCCAGGCTTTTACTTGTCGCAATGTAATGCAATTAGCATGAGGTAGAGAGCTTCCGTATCTTTTTTCAAATCAGACAAAATATAGTGTCATTTTATGTGAAATTTAAAGAAAATTGGTGAATTCCAGAGAGAGAGCTTTTTTATGTACTAACCTATACAGCCTACTTTATCATATTTGATAGGCACATTTCTGAGGCCTCTAAATTATCAACATGATAATTGATCTGAAAAACCTGCTGTACTCAATCCTCAACATGGCTTCTGTTGTCTGATTGGTAGTTTATGTTTTAGCAAGTAAAAATGCCTTTTAGTATAATTCTAAAAAAACATCCCACTTCTGGTCAGGATACAAGTGTCTTTTTACTGTGAAATCTTCACTGAATATTTACTAAAGTAAACACAAGAATATATTTTACATTGTTATTATTATTTCAGCACTTACTGGAATGAAGCAACTTAGGTTTTCTTGATGATCCATACATAATTTTTGTTTTGTTTTGAAGAATCATGTTCTAATGTAATATTTGTACGTTTATTTGTTATAATATTGTAAAGCGACTTTGATTTTGCTATATAAGGTGCTATATAAAGTAAACGTATTATTATTATTATTACATCTTTCAAACATTGTCTCTCATTCCCCCACAATTAAAACTATAGAGCTTTGATATATTAAACTAACCATTTAAATATAATCTAAAGAAATATTATTGAAGATATACAGTGACCATTGATAATACTGATTCATAAAGTAGTCTGCTATACAAACTAACAGAATTTCATCACTCTCTGGCCATATAAATAATAACATCTGCACCAAATTGCATATTTTTGCTCAGTTTGGGCCTCTGAATAAAGCTAAGGTGTTTTTTTTAGCTTAATGTTGTCATAGTATATGAGCCATAAAAGCCTGATGTATCAAATATGATACTAAACAAAAACACATTTGCAAACTTAAAAAAAATATTTTGTCTAAAGATTCCTAAACCCCTCCATTTCAAAAAATTATAGTCATTTTTCGGACTATTATTCCATATGTAGGATTTTAAACTGTAAAAGGAGCCCGTCTCTAATTTATGAACACTCTTAATCATCACAAAAGTACTGTCTCCAATCATAGTTACAGTAAAAGTTATTTTCTGAGTATCTTACATTAATTTGAGTTGTTTGATTGATTCATTTATGGGCGTGTGTGTGTGTGTGTGTGTGTGTGTGTGTGTGTCAGCCCGTGGGGTGTGAAGTATGTGTAGATCCATCGCATTGTCCCATTCTCCTGCTTTTTCCCCAACAGGGCCTAGTGTAACCTTCAGCCCTACAGGGGAGAGGCTTGTAAATTACCACTGGAGTTTTCCCCCTCACCCCTGCTGTCATCATTTCATTAACCCCATCCTGATCTCCTCCGACCTTGACTGCTTGCCTTCACTCACAGGGGAATGGCCTCTCTCTCCTCCCTGCTTTCTCTCTTACTTTGTGCCAAACAATGTTGAGCTGCAGCCAGTACATATGTCAGCCACAGAACCACGGGCTTTCAGCTAATGGCATTAGGAGATAGACTGTAATTTTATGGGAAAAAATATATCAAGTTCACAGATGCCATGTAAACGTCAATATGAAATCAAAATGAACTTATTGACTTAATCAATTGTTGCACCTGGTCTTATTGGGAATGATTCATCTGTGCATTTTATTTTGAAGAAAACAATTGTTTACTTAATCTTGACTCACACTTTCCTTTTCCACTGATGTTACTTAGGTCATGTGGACAACTGATTATCGTAAAGCAGTCACCGAAGAGATATGTTGCCATTGTTTTATTGGTTCTCAGCCAGGGGGCCGGGGCCCACCAGGGGACCTCAGCAAACTTCCAATGATGCCCCAATAAGTCTTCAAATTATTTACGTTTGGTTATAACAATCATCTTAATTAAAATGCTGAATAAACTTATAATAAATATGTACCACTACAAACTGACATCATATTTTTGAGTTTATTTATTTCCATTTCAACAGAAGTACCAGAGGTACATATCAGACAAGATGAAAGGGCTTTTGAATGTTGTCTTGGACAAATGGGGGTGTTGAAATCAAATAGGTTAATAACCACTCTTCTAGTGTATATAATGCAAACACTTCAATTAATTCTCAATGGATACCGTCTAATCCCACGCACAATATTTTCTTATTGAAAATCCTGTTTCACTTGGAAATGTGTCACATTAAGGAAGTAAAATGTTTTGCAAATGTAATATAAATCTGAACTTTTATTGTCATATTTGTGTGCATAAAATAACCTGTGTGCAATTTTATTAATAGTATAATAGTATGACTTTAGCAAAAGCTGTAGATTTTTGAGCAAATGAATGTGTGAATGGTGTTGCATGCACTTAAAAAATGATGGTATGGTGTAAAATAATGATTATGGATGGTTGTTTTAATTACTACTCCTTTTGGTGGTGAATGAGTAATTATTCACATTTTTCTTGTATGAGGACATAAGCAGAATGGCACTGATATTCTTAAGGTTAGACAATGTCTGTCTTTGAAGCTTGTCAGTAGCACAAGCTTCTGATTCACATGAATCCTGCACTGCTCCCTACAGACTGAGCTGGGAATATTTCCTTAAGAGCAACTTCACTCTACTTATCATTTTTACTTTTATTTATGTAGGACAGCATAGAGAGCAGACAGGAAGCAAAGTGGGAGTGGAAGGTACCACGAGCTGGGACTCAAACTCAGGTTGCCCAAAGCACAACCATATATGGTTGTATGTTGGAGCACTGTCCATGAGGCTGTCACCTCTGACTGCACTTTACTTGTATCCAAAATAAATGTGGTATATTGAAGTTATAAATTTTTTTTTTATCAGTAAGTGTGTTCTCTCTGACCCTGAGTTTCAAATATTGGAAATACTTAAAATACCGTGTGAATACGTATACACTACTGTTCAAAGGTTTGGAGGTCATATATATATATATATATATATATATATAAAATATGTATTTATATATATTTAATTATATATACTTTATATTTATCATATTATTTGTCATATTATGCCCTTTATTTAGTTACATTTAGTTAAAAATATTGTAGTGTAGTGACTCCAACCGTTGACTTGTACAACAAACTCCAACCGTTGTATAACCCCATCGTCATAAATGGCATTTTAAGGTATTTTGTGTTCTTTAACCATGCACAACTGTCAAGTAACCGCTCTTGAGGTCAATTAAGCTGAATTAAAACAATTTTGTCCCTCAACCCCTTTACACTATATTTAGTTTAGCCAGTCTTCATGTAGTACTAAGGTTGTGTGTAATGTCTGATGGGTAACATTTACTCTATTTACACATTTTCCCTAATCAGTATAGCTTTATTCCTACTGCATTACACTCCCTGCAGTACTATTTGGAATGGCACTTGATTGGCTGATCGGGTGTGAATACACAACTCCTCAGAGACCCTGTCTTTTACTGTGAGTATGCAGCTGAGGATGTGGATACCCAATCCAGTTATCCTCATCCTATCTGAACAGCACGAAGACTGGAAGCAGGTCGGAGTGTAAATGTGAGAGATCTTGCTGATGCTGCTAACTCTGCCCGCAGCTGCTGCATCCAACCCTCCTAAGTTCCTTTAGAATTTATGCACTCACTCAGCAATGTTATTACAAGTCAGAGTTTATTGGGAAATTGTTACATTATGTGAAGTGTCTAACAAATTGCTTATGCTCCTGTAATTGGGTTACAACAGGCGTGCTCTCCCATTGGTGAGATTAGGCAGGCTGGGCTCCCACCGATCTCAAAACCCAAGCAGTAATTTTATTTGTCTTGCCTCGCTCTCCCTCTCCTAACAACATGGCTTTCTCTGCCTCCTTGCCAGATGTCTGTTTGGAGGAGCAGGCTTGTTTTTTGGCCCCTGACAACGCAATTACAGCCCCGCCGATTGTCGTGTGTGTGCATTAAGTACCTCCCCCAGAACGAGGCCGATTAATGAAGGGGCTCCTCGGGGCCGAAGAAGAAGCCCCAGGCACCCACACACAGAGGAGAGGAACTGTTGTTGGGGGTCAGGCCGCTACACATGCTCCATATTAATGCAGGTGTGTATGTGTGTGTACGTTTGAAACTACATTACATAGTGTGGCTTGACCACAGGATAGGATGCTACACTTTTACAAGTTTCCTGCCAGTGAAGAGATACATGTGTATACATCATGGTTCAATATTTTTAATAAATAAATTGCATTTTTATAATGCAGTTAATTATTAATATTATTAGATTATTATTGTTGAAATTATTTTAGGGATGTATTAATAAATATATCACCACAGAGGAAAAATTGGTAAAACTACAAGGAAAATATATTACATTTTTTGCATACATATGTCTAGGCATATTTATGTTTTAGGCCATATAATGATACCCTTCCTAATTTAAAGGTATCTATGTATTTAGTATAAACACCCATTTATATAGTGTGAAAATATAGATTAGCAATGATATTATACAGAATAAATAAATGGTGTTATATTGTGACTGTACTGAAGGCAAATTATATTAATATTATATGGAAATATTGAACTTATATTAATTTGACAGCATATTCTTTTCTGCTCTCTATTAATGTTGTATATGCACCTAAAAACTAAAATGATCTTTGTTTGTATGAAGCTAACAAAAAAAGAGAAACATTTTCGCAATTAATGTAGTTCCATAGCAGCGTATTAAATCATTGCGTTTATATAATATTGTAAGTTAAAAATATTCTAACTGAAATTGTTAAATGCGACTAAGGATTTTGAAGTTTGACATTTTTTTTTAGCCTATGCACACACCATACCAAAATAAGAGATTAGTATTTATACTTTCAATGGATGATTTTATCTGAAGCAACTTGGAGTGTATTTAAACTGTATTTTATCGTGATATGTTCACTGAAGAACCCATAACCATGTTGTTTTTAACCACATGCTTTAGTAGTTGAGTTACACAAACACAATAATCAGTCTGTATATACATCAGCAGAATGTGATTTATTAGGTGAATTGTACTAAGCAGCTCAGTTTCTGTGTATTTATATATATATATAAAACAAATAAAGAGAATCGACCCTGTCTGTAAGGTATATGAAGACTGAAAATGGCTTAATTTTTATAATGTTCCCCTGACAAGAGATTATCCAACATAGTAATGGCAAATCAATAGGGACTTAAGTTGTCAGGAGAAACAGATAACATACTAAAAGGGATTGATTAGATGAATTTTCTCATTTTATGAAAAAGTCTATACCAAAGGTAGCTGCAAAGCTTGTTAAATAGAGAGCAGACTTATCTTTGCAGAAAAAAAAACATTAAAAAGCTGAAGGCAGATTGTTGAAGGGAAGAGAGAGAGACTGAAGGGAAGAAACTGCTGACCTGTGCTTTTTTGTCTGACGTTGAGCTGATTTATAACGATGGATAAGCTTTGTCTAAAGGGGGAGTGAACGATGTCTCCATGTAAACGATCTTAAATGAGATATCACAGGCTGTTGTCACAGCGGGAGCTCTTGCAGTGTGGAAACGGAGGAAGCATCATGGGACTTTTTAGTCCTTTAAAACATGAGGATGATTCTGAACATCTTAGGCTTTTCTTTACATGTCTTGTTCTACAATTATGGTCATTTAAACGACACAAAGCAATTGTTTTATGTTGAAATTAGGGTGTTTAAAATGGTGACACAATAATCAGCTTTGGTTCTTATACAGTATTAGAAGAAATATTCTTGTCATTTTTGAAAACTATAATGTAAAAGCACAGACCCTAATGCATAATTTAAGATGTAGCATTGTCATGTAATCATTGCAATATCATAATTACACACACCTCTCCTGAGTAATAGTACATTTAAGGTATTGTTTTATGTTGAAAGCTGAACAGCTGTGTTTCTGAAGTACTTTATTTCTAAATGTCTTGGGAATTTGGGTGTCAACAACTGTCACCAAAACATGCTACCACTGATTGTATTTAGATGCACAGATGTTTATATCCTTATGTGAAGGGTTTCTTATTTCAATTAAGCAGTGATAACTGTGGGTGCTATTTGAGCATTTCCGCAAGAAAACTAATTAGTGGAGGAAAGTTTGCATGAGGACTAAGGTTTGGACTTCTCTGGTCCGCTGGCTGTAATTTAATATGTAATATTTACATTCTGTATTGCTGTAGCACACCTTAAAAGATGCGAGCTGTTCAGGCATGACCATATAAACATACCCCCCTTTATAGTTGTGCTCAGTATAGTGAATAGATTGTGGTATTTGGGTGACATCTGGTCCCTGACTGTTCAAAGTGTAGCAGCTGTTGCTCCCCATGATGATGTTCATCTTCCTCACAGCCATGTGACACTTTAAATGTTCTTGTCTCCACTCCAGCTTCTCAGAAACTCTTTGAGCTGTCACTTACCAAGTCTGCATCTCAGGAAGTGCTTTGTCCTTTCATTATGTAGTATCTGTGGGGTCAGAAACTAAGTAGTCTAGCTGTTGTTTTGTTTATGCAGAAGAATATATAGATGTTTTTGAGATGTTGAGGTGAGTGCTTTTGGTTTAGATGTTGAATAACAAATGTTCTTATTCAGAAAAAGAAATCTGGAGCTGAATATTTTTTATTAAGTTGCATTCTCTCAACTCTACTAAAATGCTGTGTTTTCATACACTTGAATAATTGTTTAATTGATTTGTGAGGATACAGTCTGAATGCAGTGATAGAGAAAATTGGTCACATCTGACACAAACCGAGAATTATTACTGTTGTAGGATTTGTCAATCAGAGTAAATCAGAGAAATTATTTATGGTTGTTTAAATTTTATTGATATAAAATACATATTGTTTACATTTATATATACATTTATATGTTAAGTTTCAAATGTGTTTTTTAACAGTCCTATAGCGTTTAAAGTTTTGAAGTCTTTTTATATGCTCACTAAGGCTGCATTTATTTGACTTAAAATACAGTAAAAATAGTAACGTTGTGAAAGATTATTACAATTTAAAATAAGTGATTTCTATTTGAATATATTTTAAAAATGTAATTTATTCCTGTGATTAAAGCTGAATTTTCAGCATCCAGTCTTCTGTGTCACATGATCCCTCAGAAATCATTCTAATATGCTGATCGGGCATTCAAGAAACATTTCTTATTTTATATTTGTTTTTTAATAATACAGGCAAATATAGTATAGTCATAGATTTAATGGTTCCTTAAAGGATTTCGAATTGTTCAGGAATAGTTCAACTCCTAATGGTTCATAAATAATAATTAGGTGTTTAAGTGATTTTATTGTTGTTCTTTTCAAGATAGCTGGAAGTGAAGTGTTTTATGAAGTGTTCCTTTCTTTGAAGGGCTTGATCAATAGTCTCCATATTGTGAAAACCTGGTGCTGATTTCTCACTATTGTTTGGCATCCCTCCTCCAGCAGATCTACGCTCTCTTTATGAACTATGTGATGAGGAGACACACGCTGCTCACTTCATTTCAACAGGGCTGACTGTCAACCTCAACAAAAGAGTCTGACCCCTGCGCTGCCTCCTCTCTGCAGATTAGGGCAATTCCCCATGCAGATGTCTTGTGCCCAGCCTTGTGCGTCTCCCCAGCGCCTTTTACAAATCCAGCTTTGACTGATTATGTCCTGACAGCTCCAGTGTTGGCTCACTTACACAGATTGACATAATCATTAGGGGGTGGGCTGACCCAGACCCAAAGCACCCGGTTTTATCTGTTTGAAAGTGGCCCCTCCCACTTCTCCACATTCTTCACCAAAGCAGCTGAGACTCTCACACTCTTGCACAAAAAGAGGCAGAACCCCTCGGCCCTTCCCTGCCCACCCCTAGCATTCATCATCCTGAAGTTAATTGGTGTGGGCTTTAAGCAAATTTCCTCCACTCAAACCATCAGCCTGCTGCCTGAAGACGCAGTGCAGAACGTGACTGCTGACCCGCCGCCATACGCTGCCTATTGATTTAACTGACGAAGCAGACCGCTCTGATAGAATTCCAGGCTGGAGAATGCATTATCCCTATGGAAGACAAGAGGAGGGAGGGAATGTGGCCATCAATATGCAAGATGAATGGGGGTTAAACTCAACCTTGATTTAAGGTTTCTGCTTGAACTTTCCCAGAGCTAATCTACCCCTTCACTGTTCTGTGCTAAAATCACAAAAGCTTTGCTGGTGCCTGACTAAGTGTGGTCTTTATTGAAATGCCAGGAGAGGAATAGATCAAAGCTGAAGGAACAATCTTGGTTTTAATTGATTATAATTCAATTGATCTAATGGAAAAAGGAACCGATGAGCGCATAATTTTCGCTAAATGAAAACCTCCAGTTTATTTACGATTTAAAATCCACCTTGATTAAGACGTCACAAATTATTGTGTCACATATTAATCTACAAACTACTCTCGGACCGGAGAAACGAGGCATTAGTCTTACGACCGAATGTCTTCACGTCCCTGTAATGAATGCAGTTCACTGACCCATAAAATAGAATAAAAAAAGCAATCTTGCGCTGTGGATCCACATTATTACTATTTTCCCCTCCTCCTCTTCATCCCTGCCTTTCCCTTAGATCTGCTGAGGTCTCAGTCAGGAAGAAATGGGCGTTTGTGACAAGCCTCTCGCCGTAGGGTTAATTAAACAGCTCACTTTAGCACCGCTGCTGTCATTTGCCCAAACACGGATCCATCAGTCACGCACACACTTCATTCCCACGCGCACACACCGTACACGTCAAAGTGTCAGAGGTTCCCGGTCCCACGGTGACAGCTGGGAACATTAAATCTTATCTGGTTTATCAATTATTCCCGTGATTGCTCGCACGGATTAGTCTATAGTACTCAAGGCATTGCTGAAATTTATCACCCTTCTGCCATCTTTGCGTTTGCAGCGTGGAGTGGGCGCCTGTCCAGTGCTGTGCTGCTGGGTGGAATATGGGTAATGTATTTTTCTTATTTTATACCCAGCTGGAGAAATGGCCTTTATTATACCACTCATACAGCTGTCCAGACAATCCTTCAGCAAATCACTACTTGGCACTTTACTTTATTGTGTTCATTAATAAATATCCTTGGCTTTCGCCTAACACAATTCACAAACCTCTAAATGACAGAACTGTATGTGAACTGAGCACTTAAAGCAATAATGCATGCTGTTCTAAACTTCTTGTTGTTGTTTTCATGGAACACAAAAGATGAATTTTTGAACAATATCCTGGCTGTCCGTGTCTATGTTTTGAAAGTGAATGGGGAATCTCATTTCTGTTCTGCAGGTTTGGAATGACATTAGGGTGAGTACATGATTGACTAATTGACTTGTTTGTTTATTTATTTATTTATTTACTTATTTATGTGTTTGTTTGTTTGCTTTATTGTTTTATACATTTTATTAATTGTTTTATTGTATTTTATTGGGTTTTTTTGTATTGTAGTTTTTGCTTTGTTTTCTATTTTATTTATTTTTTTTATTTGTTTCATTCCATTTTCTAAATTATTTGTATTTTTTATTTTTATTGTATTTTATGTTTTGTTTTATTATTTTTATATATTTTGTATTTTTATCTTTTCTTTTAGTTTTATTCATTTAATTTTTTTATAAGCGGAATTTTATTGAATGTTTGTTTATTATCTGTATCTGCCATGAAATAGCCTTTTAAAATGATATGGCAATAAACTAAAATACAAACAAACCATTTTATTTTAATGCTTAACCATCTGCATTGAAACTATATGTTCCTCGATTTTGGAAATTTGCATCAGGAGTGATTATGTCAGTAGTCACCATTTCAGTCTGGTGTGCCAACATATTATCTGCAGTGACCTCCCCACATTAGGACGGTACATAGAAACTCAATCTAACATGGTGAACAAATTGTCAACCCCAGGGACGATTGGATGAATCAAGGTTTCTGTGGGTTTAATGCAGCATAAGCGCAACATATCAGAGCCATTGCTACTTCTCTCCTAGCATATGTGGCCTGACATTTAACAGGAAGACACGGAGCAGGAAAGCACTTTTCCAGCCCTTTAATATGGCACAGCAATATGAGCATCCAGAGTCCTGCTCTCCCTCATAGATTCATACAGGCTTAATGTACCTCTCCCAAATCCCATTAGCTGACAGGCTGTTGAAACAGCTTGAATATGTGAGGCTCATGCTTGAGGGATCGGGCCAAACTGGAAGGCCTGGCACCTAGTCAACTCGACAGAAGTGGCTGCCTCTCCTCTTTAGAAAGGCACAGGCGACAAAGAGCTCATCAGTGCTCGCCATTCAAGAACCAGCAGGGAGGCAAACCATACAGTAGTTAACTCGCTAATATGGGCAGTGTGTGAGCAGTCGTTGTACAACTTCCAGAGCTCAATAAGGGCTGGAGGACGGCAAACTCATCGTCCATTTAGCCAGAGCCCGCTACTGTTAGTGGCGCACAAAGAGGCTTTTGTTGTTTTGATTTTTTGAATTTATAGTTGCATTACTTTTGCTTGGGTAACTCTTTTGAGTTCAAGCTTTATGTTAACCTTCCCGGAGAGGGAAATGACATACCCTGAGGGTGTTTCTGTGTTTTACCGGGACAGAAAAGAAAGCCAATCTTTTACGACATATTGCGGTCCTCCTCTCCTGAAAGAGCACAAGTAGGCTTATAGCTGTTTCCACAAAATAGGTCATTTCATTTAAAGGTGACAAACATATGTCATTTACGGTCACACAGAATGCCCCCCCCCCCCTCATTTCTGTCCATGTGTAAAAAATGGGAACGTAACATTTGGACTTGGCGATCAAACCTCATATCCAATTTGTGTTCCTATCTGAGGGAGAG